TGAGTCAAGTCTGACTCGATGGCACATAACAACAACAACAACATGCTGTGCCCCAGGTAGATTTGTTTTAGAGCAAAGCCCTACCCTGAGCTTGACCCAAGATGTAAAAAGCACAGGTGTGACAGTCAAAGCACCTGTAAAATGCAAATCACTTGATTGACTGACAGTCAGTAAATGGTCTATAGTCAGAGCCCAGCCAAGCTTTTCAAAAACAAGATGAAACATTTTGCACAATTCAGACCAAGAATAATGAAATGAAGACAGCCCTATCGCTTGAAAATGAGAAAGGAGGTCTTTTTAAAGTGTCACAGTAAATATTACCCAAATAAATCCAGTGATCTTTTAAAAAAAGATTACAAAATTGAATTTATTGAGTTCACACAGATGCTCTTATAAAATCAGTCCTGAACGCCACTGTAAGAGAAATGAACACCATCCGGATTCCCACAGCATCCGCAAGGGAAGTGGAAATCTTTGGAAAACGACAGCACACAGACAGAATAAGTCAAGCTGAATTGAAAGGCAGACTCAAGATACGTGGTTGATCTGGTGGGGGCAGAGGGAGGAGGCTGTGCTTAGCAAAGTTTTCTCCAAATCATTCCCCTTCACTGTGGACACCATTCCTTTTACTGATGAAAGAGGAGCTGGGGAAAGGAATCACCATTCCAAAGCGGGGCTTCAGTAAAACATATACAAAGCAATTAAAAGTCTTTCCCTTGTTACCGTAATACTCCTGGTCCTACAGAAGCCTTTGTGTAGTTTCCTCTTCCCCCTGTCTGAGCACAAGGCACAACACTGTGATTCACTTCTGTATTTCAAACCAACAAGCCAGTGCCAGACTGCTTTCTGTTTCACCCAGGATACAGACAAACTGCTTCAAATGTATCTTGTGCAGAACACAGCCCTGAAACAGCTGCCCAAGAGCGATCTTCAAAATCCAAACACCAAAAGCAAAAACAAAGTTAACAGTATCTTTTGGACAGTTTTGAAAAAAGAAGTTGGAAGATGTTTATAAAATGCAGAAAGGTTTCTCAAGTAAAATGTGATGGGAAGTATCTTGTCCTATAATGTAGGCCACAAACCAGTCATGAAGCCCGAACAGAATCTGGATCTTAAATGAAACCAAAAGGTAAGTTTTGCTTGCTGTTACCAACATGTGCACAGTCTGCCCTTTCATACCAACTGCTCTCCCAGGACGGGCCTGCGGCCCCCTAGCACAGGCACCTGACACGCCCCTCTCCCCACAGAGACGCTGTCCCACAGCACCCGCGCCCCCGGCAGACACGCCTGACGGTCACTTCTCTTCCCAGGCCCTCTCTGACAACAGACCCCACCCCTGGCACAGACACCCTGACAGTCACCTCTCCCCACAGACGCTCTCCCACAGCACACCGCACCCCCAGCACGGGCACCCACCGTGCCCTAAACAGAAAGCCCATGCATTCGATAAGCTCCAGCCACACCGTGTTGCTCCATCTATTTAGGGTGTTAACTTTAGAACACTTAGTTAAAAAGCCCAGTTAAAGCTGACACCTTTGAATTTTGCATGTTGACCATTTTCCCATCTATTCACCACCAAATCCTTTCAGCTGTGACAATTTCTGAAGCAATTATCTCAAAGCAAAGCTAGTTCCCAGCACCTGGCAGTTTACACTGCTCTGCTCTGCCAGCCCCGGAAGCGCCCCAGAAGGCATTTCTGTCCCGTCCGCTGCAGGTCCACACCGCACAGCTCATGCTCTGCCTTAAAGAGTCAGTGGGAAAATCAGAAAACATTTTCAGTGATGCATAACCTTCTTTAAATGAATTTTTTTTTTAAACAAAATAACTAAATGGCTTAAAGTTTCTGTTTTTCTATAAAACGCTATTATGCATCATTGTCTTATTTAAGGTAGCCGTTTATTCTGATCAGCTCAGATACACCATCAAGGATCACTGTGGTGGTAGGGACACTGCTCTCGTGTAATAATGCCCTTAATGCTTTGGCAGATGAAGTCTGGAAACAGTTTGCGAACAGAGTGTGAGCCTGGAAAGGTCACGTCCGGTCAGTCTCCCGGTCCTCCGGTGCGTCCCATTCTGAAGAGGCCCCGAGGCCGACCTGGAAGCCCGAAGGGCTCTGGAAGCCCGCAGGACAGCGCCGGTGCCCCTCTGCTGCCTCCGCCAGGCCAGAGTGACCTGCTGCTTGGTCACCCACTCTCCCCAGAAGGCAGAGCTGGAGGCTGCCACTGTTCTGACTGGACCTTCACCCCATCCACGTTGCTGGAAGAAAGATACTAATATTTGCTCGCCATTAATAATTTAAGTTTTTAAATAAATAGTTTAGTGCCACTTTTTGCCTCTGTCTGTCCTGGTGGCACGGTGTCTGCTGCCCGGGACTCGGCATCTCCAGCCCACGTGGCCCAGGTTCAGTCAATGCGGTTTCCACAGATTGTAAACCTGTCTATCTCTAACAGATCTTTCTTTGAAGACCTGTGTTTCAATTCGGAACTGTCCTGTGTTATGTCCTTCTCATCGCCATCTGGAGTAGTCAGGAACTGGTCAGAACTGCTTGTCACAAGAAGCGGGACGACGTTTTCCTTTGGACGAGCAGGCTGGCTGGTGACTGAAGCAGACAGGGCTTCCTCAGAGGCAGGGCCTGTGGAAGAGCAGATCCACTTAGTCGGGAACGGACCTCCTCTCCCTGGAGGCAAGGCAGGCATCTGCGTGTGGCTGTACTTTACTCCTGTCGCTCCACGCACAAGCACGGCCCCCCATGATGGAGCTCCCAGCCCCCTCCAGCCCTCTCCAGAGCCCCTGTGAGCGCTGCCCGCCTTTCAGGCCTCCCTGTCTTTGCTCCGCTGGTACTCCTGCTGACACACCCTTCCCGCCTGCCTCCCCTGGTCTGTTTCTTCCTGCCCTTCAAAGTTTAGTTCAGGCGTCACCATCTTCAGGAGATCACAGCTCCTGCCCCCTGCACACACCTCACACATCCACTCGGATTAGCCATCGTGCTGTCTCTCCCACGGGTCTGTGGGGCCTGACAGGCAGGACCACGACCCATTTACCCTCATATCTCCAGCATCGTGCCACTACCTGGCACACAGTTGTTCCATACATTTAAAAACAGACCATGTGGACTCAATCATGCCAATAAATACTTACATTAATAGGGAACCGCTACTGAATGACACAAATTCAGTCAATTGTTGCAGTTCTTCCTCTAGGGCTCCAGGCCTGAACCCTTAGAGCATCCTTAGCACCAACCTTGCTCACTGCACAGCCTGGGCCCTTCCAGACCTCTCCACCCACACACCACCACTGCCTGGCCCTCACTGTCCGGCCTTGCCCTTAAAGTCTGTTTTCCACAAAGCTTGGGAATTACCCTCTTAAAATGTATGTGGCAGCCTGTCACTTGTGCTCAAAGCCCTGCTGTGGCTCCCTCCCCTCTGAGAAGAGAAGCCGAGGTCCCCTATGTGACCTGGGCTCTGGCTGGCCTCTCAGGCCCTCTCCCAACCACACCAGCCAACTTGCCTTTCTTCTTGTCAGCAGGCTAGTCTGCTCCTGCCTGGATCCTCTGTAAGCACTGGCTCTCTGCTGGGGCCACTCCTGCCACAGAAGATTCGCTGCCCCCCACCTTCAGCTCAGTTCAGGGGGTGTCTCTTTGTAGAGACCCCAACTCCTGTACACTTGGTTTTCCCCTAAACTGGCTTTATTTTCCTCTATAGCACTGACTGCTACCTGGCACAGTACACACCCCCTAGTTTGTTCATTCCCTCTCCCTTCTTCCACCTCACAGCCTAGAATGAGCTCCACGAGGGCAGAGACATCTTCCCTTTTCCATGACTGTATCCCTCCGGAAGCCCTGAATGGCTGAAACAGTTAACACTAACGGAAGGGTTAATGGTTTGAGTCTCCCCAGAGGCACCTCAGAAGAAAGGCCTGGTGATCTACTTCTGAAATCAGCCACTGAAAACCCTACAGGGCACAGTTCTCCTGTGACACACCCAAAGCGCTCTGAGTGGGAATCCACTCAATGACAACTGGCTTTTTTGGTTTGTATCCCTGGGACCCGGCAGGTAATGTCAACAGTTATCTGTGGAACCATGAATGAATAAAGGTGAAAACTCACAGCACTGTGTCAAGTGCAGCTGCGATGCGGTCTAAAATATAACCATATAAAAAGGAGAGAGAACCCTGAGTAAGCTGAAAGCAAAGTATACAGCACTGCCAAACACTGATTGTGAGAAGTGAGACAAGGACCAGACGTACTCTGAGGGGATGAGCTTTTGTTGGGGGATTTACTGGCTGGTTTGCCTGGCGTGCTGGCGGGGGGAGGGTGGGACAGCTTCTCCTCCATCCTGGCCTCCTTCACGTACTGGCATGACTTCCCGAGCAGCACGATGCTGTTTAGCACTTTCAGGGAGATCAACCTACAGCCGGAAACAAAACACACGACCGCTGCTGTCATCTGGCCTTGTGCATGCGCTCCCCACCACGGGCTGCCAAGACGGATGGGGACTGGGGGTTGGGAGCCCCAGCTTCCTGGTCAGGAGCCTGCCTTCCTCAGGGCCTGGCCACCCAGGGGCTTCACCGCAAGGAGAGAATTTTAATAATCCCCATCGTGCTTCATCATTGTGAGAACTTATGAAGACTTTCTCCTTGTACTAAGTTAATTAACAGTGGCACTCCAATGGCTAAGCGCTCAGCTTCTAACCCAAAGGCTGCTGGTTCAAACCCACCCAGCACTTCCACGGGGGAAAGACCTGGCAATCTCTCCCACAAAGACTACAGCCTAGAGGCAGTTCTGCTCTGTCACGTGGGTGTTGCCATGAGTCAAAAACAGACTCGACAGCACGCGACAGCACCAATTCTCTCATCACAAACAAATCCATTCAGAAAAGGCAGATGAACAAGAGAGAGAAGAACAGGCCCTGTGACTCCACATCCCACTGGAAATCACTGTGGACACTCTGGTCTGTCATCTTTACGTGGCTTTGCTAAAAGGACACATCTTTTTGTACTCTTTACTGTACAGAAATGGAGTCACGTGACACGGACTATTTTATAAGGTAAAGCGTGGGAGTTATGAGTCAGAGTTTAGATTCTGAGGTATAGGTATCTGCGTGTGGATCCTGACTCCACTGTTTAGAACCTGTGTGGACCCAGGCAAGCTACTCACCCAGTTAATCCAGAAAGGAGATGATTCAGGAAAGGGGCTTAGAACAGTGCTTCCTTCACATGCAGTAGGGCTAACCAATTCTGCTATTTTATTTCAGCTGCTGTTACTTTGTGTATGAACATATAAGTGTTTTCCATATCAGTAAATGTTTCTCACTGACATTATTTAAACAGCCCAATATGTCACTGTAATGGGTTATAGTTAAACCTGGATCTCCTTAAGATAAAAACTCTAGATAATTCTAATTATAGAAGTTAAATTTCTGGATCAAAAGTTACAGAGCATTTCTCTGTAATTTCCAACCAAATGATACAGAGGCCTGCAAGGTGAACAATTACACCAGGGAGGTGCACTCCTTAGAACAATCAACCATGGGAGACCAGAAAGACGGCACTTGCACATGGGAAAGCTCAGAGGGCAGGAATGTATAGGCAATAAAGACACAGGGGAAAGATACCCACAGGGAGGAAGTGGGAAGAGAGCTGTTACACTGTGGGGGCTGCAATCAAAATGTCATGAAACAAAATGTGTGTGAACCACTGAATGGAGCACAAATTTGCTTGGTAAGCTTTCACACCAAATCACAATTTAAAACAAAACAATGTACACAACATTTTAAGGCACTTGATACAAATCTAGAGAAAAATGCTAGAAAGAAAAATCCCACATTGGTATCATCTCACATCTATCAATACTAAAAACCAAACCCACTGCTACTGAGTCAATTCTGAGTCATTAATGACCCTATAGGGCAGACCATGGCTGCCCCGGTTTCCAATGCCATAATCTTTATGGAGGGAGCTCTGGTAGCATAGTGGCTAAGACACTTGCCTGCTAACCAGACGGCTGGCAGTTCAAACCCACCAGCCACTCCTCGGAAGGAAGGTTGGGCAACCCTACTTCCGTAGTGATACTGCCTCAGAAACCCAAGGAGGGGTTGCTATGAGTCGGGTTTGACTCGACGGCACATAACAACAAAAACAACAAATCTTTATGGAAGCAGACTGCCTCATCTTTCTCCCACAGAGCGGCTAGTGGGTTTGAACTGCCAACCTTCTGGTTAGCAGATGACTGCTTTAACCACTGTGCCACCAGAACGCCTTCAACTCAATAACCACAACCGCAGCTTCACAATGAGTGAGGATGGGTCTGCTTGTTTCTAGTGCCTGAGATGAAACACTAAGAACCATAGGAAATGACAAGTCACTGAAGGCAAGTCTGAGGAACAGCCTGGAAGAAGGTGAAAGCAAGGGGCAAACAGGTTTTCCTTACTGTCCGCAGCCTCCCCAAGAGCTGAGAGTGCCACACGGACATCTACAGCCCCAGGGCTGCGTGGCAGGTGCACAAGACTCTCAGCTGGACTGTCAGGTGCAGGTTTTCTCTGAACTCCTCTCACATTTTCCACTGTTTTCTCAGCATTACCTAGGTGCTGTCTAGCTTGCAATTCACACCTACTAAATCCCCACTAGGCCTCTTGATTCCAAGCCCACCCCTTGCCTCAGGGCTGAAGCCTGATGAAGGGAAGTTCTCAGTATGATTCAGTGCATAAATGAAAAGACAAAAACCACCATTATACTTAATGAAGAAAGACTGAGCGCTATCTCCTGGAGGTCAGGAACAAGAAAAGGGTGTCCACTCTCCCCAGTTCTATTCAATATAGTATTAGAAGTCTTAGCCAGATCAATAAGAAAAGTAAGTAAAAAGTATCCATATTAGAAAAGAAGTAGTAAAAGTATCTCTATTAGTGGATATAATTCTATATACAGAAATTTCCAAAGAGTCCACAAGAAATGTAAAGCCAATATAGGAACTCAGCAAAGTTGCAGGGTCCAAGGTCAACAAATAAAAATCAGCTGGGTTTCTATACACCAGCATGAGAAATCTGAAAGGAAATTAGGGAAACAATTCCATTTATAATACATCTAAGAAAGTAAAATACCTAGAAATAAATCTAAACAGGGCATGAAGGACTTATACAATGAAAATTATAAAACCCTGCTGAAGAGATTAAAGAAGACTTAAATAAATGGAAAGATATTCCATGTTCATGGACTGAAGACTTACTATTCTTGTCAACAATACCCAAAGCAATCGATAGTCAACACAATTCCAATCAAAATTCCAACAGTCTTCTTTACAGAAATAGAAAAAGTAATTGTCAACTTTATATGGAATAGCAAGAGGCCCTAAATAGCTAAAACTATGGGGAAAGAGAAGAACAAAGGAGGGGGCACACACTTCCTGATTTTAAAATGTACTTTACAGCTATAGTACTCAAAACAGCCTGGTACTGGTATAATAGAAACAAAGACCAATGGCATAGAATTGAGAATCCAAAATAAACCCACACATCTATGGTCAACTGATTTTGACAAAGGTGCTCAATGGGAAAGAAGAGTTTCTTCAATAAAGCTAATGAAAAAATTCAATTTCCACATGCAGAAATATGAAACAGGATTCACGCCTCACACCATACACAAAAACATATGTAAAATGGATCAAGAACCTAAATATGTAAACTAAAACCATAAAAGTCTTAGAAGAACAAGTAGGACAGCAACACTGTCAGGCTGAGCTTTCAACGATGGATTATCTAATATAGTAACAAAAATACAAACAGCAAATGACAAAATGGGACCTCATAAAAAGTAAAACTTTTGTTCATCAAAAGACTTGCCCCAAAAAAGTGAAAAGACAAGCTACTGACTGGAAGACTATCTTTGGAAATCTTGTATCCAACAAGAATCTAATAACCAAAATATATATAAAACTTGGACAACTTAACAACGAAAACACAAATAACCCAAATTGGGCAAAGGATTTGAAAAGATGTTTCACCAAAGAGGACATTCAAATGGTCATCAAATATATGAAACGATACTCAATGTTATTAGGAACCAGAGAGATGTAAATCAAAACCACAGTGAGATACTATTCTAGCACTCTCAGTAGAATGGCTAAGATTAAACACACACACACACCCCACACACAACAAAAGCAGAAAATAACAAATGTTGGCAAAGATGTGGTGAAACTGGAACCCTGATCGATTGCTGGTGGGAATTCAAAAATAGTAGAGACACTGTGGGAAATAGTATGGCAGTTACTCAGAAAACAGAACTACCACAAAACCCAGCAATTCCACTCACAGGTATGTACCCACAAACCTGAAAGCAGAGACTCAGACACTTGAACCCTAATGTTTACTGCAGCACTAGTCACAATAGCCAAAAAGTGGAAACAGCGTAAATGCCTATCAACAGATGGATAAACAAAAAGTGGTGCATACAAAAAATGGAGTATTATTCAACCAGTAGGAAAAACAAGTGTTAATGCATGCTACAATATGGTTGGAGCTTGAAGACATTTTAATGAATGAAATAAGTCAATCACAAACGGATTATATGATCTCACTTATACACAAACACGAGAAAACGCAAATGTATAAAGACCAAAGTTTTTTAGTAGTTACCAGTGGTAGGAAGGCAGGGGACAGGAGAGGTTAATGATGATGAAAAACTCACACTGATTAAGGGTGGGTTGAACAGCCAATAATTGTAATTGCTGTCAATAAGCTGTACACCTGTGAAAAGCTGAAGTAGCCAAAGTTTTGTGATGTATTTACAATGATGGAAGAAAAAAAAAAAAGGAGAGGTTCCAGCAAGATGTTGGACTAGGCAGAAAGACTGCACAGACCCTCTTCAACAAAGAAAAGGGAAACCAATTTACACAGACACAGAAGATAATCCTGGACCCCTGAGCTTTGAAGGGAAGGATATGGAAGTGGACTAAACCCCAACTACCAGAAGAATTTGCATGAAAATACCAAAAAAGGAGACATACGGAGCTGCGGTCTGGCAGCGATCCTGATGGCACAGACAGTTTGGAGATTCCTGAGTGGTGGTAGGACCTAAGAATTAACCAAAAAATCAGCCCTGCTAGCCAGGGACTGCACAGAGGACTGTGCACAGT